CAGACAGCCTGGCTCAGTAAAAGTAGGCGGCCAGTGCAACTCTGATTAAAAATCTAGTTATAACCACGTGCAGTGCTGATAAGCACTACGTGTTTCTGTGACTCCTTCTCCTATTTTCTTCTTTCTATGTATTTCTTTCTCCTGATGAGGAGGGACCTTTAGCTGCCCTCGAAATCGATTGAGTGTTTCATTATACCTACGCTAAATATAAGGTTGTTTTTTACGATTTTGACCTTTTAACTAGCCATACAGAAGCCTTTCCTAGCACATCTGATGTACTAGGAATCTAATTAAATATTTAGAATAAAACTTATTAATCATACAATGAATGTGTTATTACTTTGGAAGAAGTCGAGAAGTGTATTAAAATATATACATGGAGATGCTTCAAGTTCAAAATATACTTCTAGCATAATCTATTAGTGACACTACGTACAGATTCAGTAGTTGATTAAAGCACTTACAGGGTTACATTAAAGCACTTACAGGTTAATACATACACTCATGTTTTAGAAAAACCGTAAACCCATAATGAAGTCATACTAATTAACTGAAAATTACAGGAAATTCAAAGCGGGGTATGATAAGCGAATTAAAATTTCAGAGCGATAGCTCATGCACAGGCTGAGCAACTCCTTTTGAATTGTCCTGTTAGGAGTATAGAATTGCGAAGAATTCCTCCGATGCATCAGCTGGCTCATCAGCACAAACATTGGAAGCCGACGGGAACTGATCACCTTTTCTGATAAACCCCGCTTTAATCTAATAATAGATTACAATGATGATCGAGTGTGCCTTAGACGCTATCTTCTGGAATGCATTATCTAGTGTCATAATGGTTAATTGCCGAGGGCAATGGTTTGCTGCGCCACTTGGCATGATGGGCAATCTCATCATTTAAGACCGGAAGTTATGCTCATCAACAATCACTACATCAAGAATGTATGGAACCCGAAGTCGTATCCTTCATTCAAAGCATTCCTGGAGTTGTATTTAAACAGGACAATGCTTCTCCCTGTGTTACTATATGCTAGTGTTCTCAGATTATCAGATACCGCTTTTTCCTTAACTTACCCATTCATTCAAAATGCTGCCTGTTAAACATGGCTGGGATTTCGTGGCCTGGAACGCGCCCATGAAAGTCGTCTTGCAGCGCATACGGTTCAACTTAGACTCGGACTGAAGCAATATGGAATGTTATTCCTTAGGTACATATCTAAAATTTGTTTAATTCAATGCACTGAATTATTTTACGATTTTTAATATATGTTACTTCAAATGCTCGAAAACATATATATTCTAAAATTTACCAGTATAGGCCAATAAAAATTAGAAATAACTAGTAAAACATTAAATTTCGAGCTTTCATCACTAAACGACGGCCATTGTTTCCTAATGGAATTGGTAAAAAATAGTTCAAACAAATTGCGATCTGAATTTCGAGTACCAATCATTCGCGTAGTATATGTGTTGTCTTGTAAGTTCATATTTCTACCATAATGATGACACTATTATCTTAAATAAGCGCTTGCAGCGAAACAACTAAACAGCCTCCGAGAATTTTTGTGTTATTAATGTTACTCGAAACTCGGGGTTAATAATTTACGTCACGAATGAATGAAAATTTAAATTAACTGCCCATTGTATAGTAGAGTCCCGATTATTTTATCTAAACGCACCAGGAGCTGATCGGATGATCGGGAAAATCGGATTACTTGGAAAATAATAAATACGACATTTAAAACTAACAAAATACATTAAATATTTCAAAAATTACATATGAGTAAATTGGAAAAACAACAAATTTATACTGTATATATCACTAAAAAAAAAGACACATAACAATCAAACCTGATGAAAAAGACGGCTTTTATTGGTTTGTAATTGGCTTTCCCTTGCCAGCTGTTTGATCTTTTCTCCCAGCCAGATCTTGCAGTCTCTGCAGAAGTAAAACACCTCTGCTCATGAAGTTCTCTCCAGCGATGAAGAGTCAAACGCAAGTTGCCATTCCATGCTTACTTTTGTTAAAATTTAATTGTATCTCTATAAATCTGACCTTTCTATGTCATACCACGTATTACTGTGAATTTTAAATTGTTCAGTCGTTCTTCATTTACGTTTTAGTACTTAATTTGTACAAGAAAGAAGAGCCTTATATACAAATCTTTGCTCAGCTGATAAATTTACACGAAGTTCTTCTAAAATTAAGAATAATTAGACATCGTAATCTGAAGCAATAAAACAAACAATGGATAATACACAAAATCTCTGCTTTTTCAGACGGGGTTAGAAAACATTTATACGCCGTGGAGAAAGGCTACCGGTAGAAACCTTTAATTTTGGGCGAACGCAAAAATTCAGCCCATTTTCTAACAAAAAACGAAAGACAGTAAACAAACAAAAAAAAAAAAAATATATACCTATGATTTTACATTATTGTCGTATATGATCACTTCATACTCTCTCTGATATTTTTGTTCAACGTCGATAGAACTCTTCTGTTTCCACACAAAAGTATATTAGAATACCATTTTGAAGATACTGTATAATGATCGAAAAAAATAGTAATTTGTATATTCAATAATAACAGACCAAAGACCAGTAATTTTTGACAGATTATTAAAACAGCATAGCGTTTAATATTACCATGATACAAACGAAGCCATTGCGATTGATGACTATAGGTTGCATAAGATAGCAGTTCAAAAGATCACCATTTTATCGGTTTATCGGTTTGTTTGATAAGGATAACTCTGAGAATGTCCCACCGTACGCTTAAGAAAATTATTCTGGGATGCAGTTCTCTTTTTGAGACTAACAATGCATGCTCTGCAATTCGGCCCAAAATCCTTCGATGGCTGACATTAAAGTACAGTAACCAGTTTCATACTTCACATGAATTTTCTAGTAGAAATAATTCCCTTTTTCAACGAGAAACAAAGAAACACATTTCTCCTCTCATTGTTTCGCAGAAAGTTGGCGCGAAAACAAGTGATAAACTTAATGATAAAATAAAATGCCTGCAGCTATCTTTCCTGTCTCGACAACCTTACCATTAGTTCCTGGATGTGGATTTGTCAAAGCTTGGTCAAGAACCTCCTTAAGATACCACTGATAAACGTCCAGAATGCGACTTGATCTTTATACTCACTGTCTTCAGGAATTTTCAAAATCATTGGTGAAACATGTTATCGTCAGTTGCATCCTTTCCATACATCTGATAAATGTTGTGGCAACCTGAAGCTGCAGCCCATTGTATTTTTGTGTGCTTCTCTAGCTTACAAAAATAAACCGCATTTTTGTGAGCGCGTAATAATGCAATAATAACAAAATCAGAACAAATTATAAGAACTAACAGCTTCTATAAGAACATAACAGCTACCATAATAAACTAGTGTAAAAATTTATATTCAAACTTTGTTAATTGTAAGAATTAATTCCCAATTATTACGAGAAGTCGTACTATTGAGAATACTTCTAAAACGTACTCCTTCAGAAGTCTTGTAGTAGTAGTCTTCTTGTAGTAGGACATTGCCCTACTACAAGAATATGTTAGACCTCGCCACACCTGGAAAATGGCCCGTGTTGAAGAGCTAATCCTTTGCCGCGACAAGAAAGTCCGTACTTGTGTTCTGCGCATGGAGGTTGACCAGGGTGGGGAGGATGTTGCGGCAAAGCCAGCGAACTATTAAAAATAACATTACCCTTTTGTGAATGGCATCACTTACGCTTTTGTATTCATAAATGCTTTTGCTTGTTCTATACTTTATTTTTATGTTAGCAAATAAATAAGCATAAAATACTATCTCATAATATCTCCCGATACGAATACAAAAACGTAAGTGATGCCATTCACAAAAGGGTAATGTTACTTTTAATAGTTCGCTGGCTTTGTCGCAACACAGTGAGCTGTAGTTCACTAGTTAAAACATGAATTAAAAAAAAAAAGCTTTCAGTTTGGTTTGAAGTACACCTCAAACTAAATTATTATTTTTACATCTAATTCAAGTTTCTCAGTTCGATGTGATAGTATGATTCGGTTGACCCAAATTACAAAATCAAAGGCATCGAAATTTTCAGTGAAGAAGAAGCATAACAATAAATCTTAGCTGGTGAAAGTTTGCTATAGCAGAAACGCAAATAAAAAATTTAAAAACTTTCACAGCATTTTGGCAGCTAGAAGACTAGGTACAGGGCGCATTTGCAACATCTGAAATGATGCATCTAATTAGATGCATCATTTCAGATGTTGCATATTTTCCTAAATATATGTTTTAGTTTCATAGCTTCGCAAAATACATAGGTAACTTTATGAGATCTATTTAATACTTAGATGGGAAGGTTTTGTAAATATAATATTTAATTTTTCATATTTTCATCACATATAAGAAAGTCTAGTTAGTAAACTGTTTATAATGCTTTAATAACTTGAATGTAAATAAATTCCATACCTTTCTTTCACGGAGTTATTAAGGATAAGCGGTTTCATTGAGCAACTAAATGCTAGATAATAGTTGAGTACTATTTGATTCAATTATAGACCCATTGAATTGGCAAAATAAGCAACATTTTTTCATCCATAAATTTGAATGAAATCTTTTAATAATCATAAGTGCTGAAAGTGATTCAAGCTAATAAATTCGAACTCTAGTGTTACCATGAAATTTTTATATAAAGCTATGAAACTATTTCTATTTAGCATAATGAAGCATAGTGAAATGTTTACTGATTGATACGTATGCTTCGAAGCCATACAAAAGTGTTAGATTTTTATATTTTGAAAATTAGACAGCCTTTCATCCCCTCAAAAAATGAGGTTTTATAAAATTTTCTACCATACCTTCAAAATATTTGTTACACATAGTTCGTATTTAAAGAAATAAAGCCTGTAACTTTCTTTAATCGACATTCTATTAATGCAATTTTTTAATTAACTTGCTTATTTTTCAACTAACAGAACGATCGTTTCAATAATAAATAGAAACATTTCCTTTTTTCAGCTTTTGCAACGATATCCACAACATCTTCAGTCATCGACAGCGTAGCTTCTCCTCCACTAGAACGGGATAGTCCATCAAGCTCGAATCCAACACTGTCCCAACAAAGGAGTGGAAAAGATAACTCGTCATGGCTCAAATGCAGTTTGTGTCAACAACGTTTAGAGGATACCCATTTTGTCCAATGCCCATCCGTACCAGGACATAAATTTTGTTTTCCATGCTCCAGAAACAGTATAAAAGAGCAAGGGGCATCCAACGAGGTGTATTGTCCAAGTGGAGAGAAGTGTCCCCTCCTTGGATCAGATGTTCCATGGGCTTTTATGCAAGGTGAAATAGCCACAATCCTTGGTGAAGAAAACAAAAATAAAAAAGAGCGAGATACTTGAATTGTAAAGATGCGATTATTAATGGTATTTGTACAGGCATATCGACTTATCAGGTGAAGCCCAAAACTTTTATCTTTGATAAATGCGTTTATTTTATGATTTACCTTTCTGAAATTTTATTTCCATTGTTTTATTTATAAATGTAGCTTTAAGGAGGCAGATCAATGAATTTTTGACATTTGTGTACGTCACAATCTTTTATTTCAATTTAAGAAAAGAACAAATTATAATAACAAATAATTTTTTAATATCAAACAAATGATCTTGTAGGATTCTCCACTATGTATTTTTAAGTTACAGTTGAAGGTGGAGAATCTTAAGAACTAGTAAGCGAATAATTGCTTGAGTTCATGAGATAGAAAACAACAAGTAAGAAGGGTGAAATAAGCCTTTATTATTCCAACTAAAGTTTAACAAAAACTTGGAGTTGTACAATAAAGCCGACACTTGGGCTTGTACTTAAGAGACTAAGAATTAAACTAAACTAATCTTAAGAGATATAGCCGAAGCTATCACAATTCTAATAGAGTTGGTCCCTTAATGTTAATTGACTGCGAAGCTATCAAGGGCCTAAAGTACGGCCGAGCGTAATAATAGCTTACGAGAGAGTAGCATAAAAAGGCGGATACGTGCAGCTAGAATATCTTGCATCTCTAAGACTGTAGTAACTTCGCGGTTAAATACCGCTCTTCCTCACTAGCATTCAGACTTGATTCTAAAACTACGTTCTGGCCGGAAGTGGTAAGTTGAAATTAAGAATCGATAGGAAAGGAAGTTGAACTCAAAATTTAGCTGTTAATAAAATTAACATAATCCTTACAATCTTAAAACTAATTTGGGTACTATTCCGTTTTGAGGACCGTAAAAAATTGCAGCGACTGGACATATTTATATTTAAAAGATAACTTACACATGATATTCGTTATTCTTAAGAAAGTTAAACTTAAGAAAGCTAAAAGTATTTCTAAAATTGTTATAGTTTAATGAAAGGTAAGTTTTGAGATCATCATATTAGCCTCAGCATTAGTATTTCTGTTTTCTATAGTAATGAATTTCAGAAACATCAGTACGAAACAAAAGTAATTAAGAAAATCTGTTGCATATTATTGTGCGCTCAAACTCAGATCTCAGAAAAGAATAAAACTTGTATACTTCGTTAAAATATATAGTTGTGCAAAAATATGAAACTATAAATATCATAAATGAAATTGTTATCAGAAATATACGAATTCCATACTTTGGCACTGTTCAAAATTCAAGAGACAGGTGCACAATGTTGTTAGGAACAAACTTCATAGGGTACGATTTAAAACATTAATATTTCATTATTTGAGAGGATTGATTTACACTTACTTTAAACTTTCTTGACGGGGGAAAAAAAACACTGAAAAGTTTCAGATTTCACATTACGCCCAAAGGGGCAATTTTTTCAATGTTTTGTATGCTACCTTATTTTATTAAATATCACGTTCTTCGCACTTAAACCATAAAACTCTGTTCAACAGCTATGTCGCAAAATAATTTTAAAATGAGTATATCTTTAGAATTTCCGATACACAGTGTCGCGCGCTGGAGATAAAAATGATTTTTTTTTTCGTACAATGTTGCCATTGCTCGCTTTAAAATCGATGAGTTTGTTAACCAAATTTCGTTAAAGTTTTACAAAATATGAAATAAACAATAAAACAAATTCCAAATTTCATCTTCTAGATGCCTATATTCGGGTGGAAACGTACGTTATTCGAAATTTGGTAGCTCTACGTACTGTTGTTTTATCACAGTGCGAGAAACATACATACATTTATGCAGATTCTTAATCATTTAATTTCTTGAAATATAATACAGGGCTCTAATATTTAGTTGCGACAATTTGAAAAATGAACCGACATTATAGTGAATCAACGCAAAATGCCAAAACAAAATTAAAAGCCCTTCTGGGCTAAAACAAAATTGCGATTTACCCTGGCTAGAAAAAGGTTTACATTATTCTGATCATTTTTCATTTACCCGACTTTCTGTAATTTTTCAGGTGAAAGGTGTTAGCTTCCTTTTGTAGTTAAATTAATGACTCAAAAAACGATTGTAAAAGACAAACAAACATTTATTTAGAGATAAATCGTACTCGTTACTTAATAACCTACACGTAACGTATTTGTAAACGTACATAACAGATGTTCTTACTGCATCGTATCGATATACATTTCAATCGTACATCATCTGAATATATTTTATAAATTATAAACAAAATTACATCCAGAAATTTTCTGTTGCCATTTCTCAATAGATATTTTGTCTAATAACAATAAATAATTTACAATCGTGCTTACATTCGACCATCCTGACTTTTCAATTGTCCTCAATTAAACCAAATCTTATCATACATTAAAACGACAAATAAACAACAACAAATTATAATAATAGGTAGGAAAAATATAAAATGAAATATAATTAAAAAAAATCCTACACAAAGTCTCTACAGAGCAATGGTTTACGCATTGTTCGCTTGGGCCTTTTAAGTTCGTCATCGTCATTATCATCATCGCCGTCATTGTCATCATCATCATTTGCTTCTGCATTTTTCCAAGATTTTAGTTGACTTACATGAGCAATTGATGCATAAAAGCGACCATCGCAGGCTTCTTCTAGTTGTGATATTCTATAAATGTCGCCCGGAAGTACTTCTGTCACAACCATTGGACCACGATACTTAGGTTGAGTTTTAGTTGGTTCTCCTGGTGTAGATTTTGAATTTCTTTTAACTACTACTATTTCTCCTTTTTCAAATGATAGAGATCCCGATTTCTTCTTGCCATAATAAGTTTTCATTTTTTCTCGTTCTCTAACAATCTTTTCTCTAGCTTCTTTTTGTATTTTTTCCGGTTCCTTCCAAACTTCTGCTTCTTCATCAGCAAGTAATCTCAAAACTCCATCTTGAAATCATGGTATATATCCATGAAGTATTTCAAATGGTGTTTTCCCAATAGTTTTATTGATTATGTTATTCAAGATTTCTCAATTTCCTTAATTCTTTTGTCCCAATATTTTTTATCTTTACTTTTCATTGATGTTATTATCGTTGATAAAATTGTTCAGTTCGATCTCTCGACCATACCATTTCCTTATGGATGGGAGGTTGAATTTAATATATGAATTCCCGTTTACTTGCAGAAGTTGTGAAATTCCTCTGAAGTAAAACAAGAACCTAGATCTGATATTATATGATCTGGTAATCCAAATTCTTCTATGAAACCCATCAATGATTTCAGTACGTTTTTCGAAGATGTGTTTTTCATAGTACACAATTGAACGAATCTGGTCATATTATCAATGACGACTAGCAATTCCTTGTTTCTTTTAGAACTTGTGACGAAAGGTCTAAGATGATCAATGTGTATTGTGGTTGCAAAAGGTCTGTGGCCTGGGGGAATAGGATGCAGAAGACCCTGTCTTTTTCCACATGGAACTTTATTGATGAGGCATTTGAAACACATTGATATATGTCGACGAACATTTCTCTGCATAGTAGGAAACCAGTACAGTTCTTTGATTTTTGAGACAGTCCTATGAACAGCAAAATGTCCCATAAGGTCATGAAACTTCACAACTATGCTTTATCTTATGCTTTTAGGTACGACGTATAATAACTTCTTCTCTTCTCCATCACACAATACGGAACAGCCTTATTTCTTTTCAGAATATAATTCTCCACATTTTGATTTTCTTATTTGGTTCTTTCACTTTGGTCATTCTTCAAAATTGCAGTTAATTAAATTCTTAACTTTTCATCTGCATGCTGTATCATAAGAATTTGTTCGTCTAAAGTTAAGGTCAAACAAACTTCTAAATTATCTTCTATCAAAGAATGCATGGTGTCTGATGAATTAATAACAGGAGCTCTACTGATTGCATCGATATGAGATATTTTAATTCCTGGTTTATGGCGTATTTCAAAGTTACATTCTTGAATAAGGATACTCCAACAAGCAATTTGGAGATTGCTAGATTTCTTTGCATTCATGTAAACCAATGCTTGGCAGTCGGGAACCACCGTAAATTCAATTCCGAGTAAGAACTGTCGAAGTCTATCTAGAGTCCAGACTATTGCCATTAGCTCAAGTTTACTCGAGTGATATTTCTTTTCAGCAGAGGCGTAGCTAAGGTTTTAAGCGCCCGGGGACACCTTAAGATTTTGCGCCCCTTTCTGTGTTCCAAGAATGGAACACATTTCAGAGTGAAATGTGTATCATCAATTTGGCGCCCCCCTGGATGCTGCGCCCGGGGACAGATGTCCCCCTTGCCCCACCCTAGCTACGCCACTGCCTTTCAGCTTCCGTTGTCTTTTGACTCACACAGTAGACAAGATGCCATTTGCCGTCATTTCCGAGTTGAAGTAACATGCCAGCAGTACCCTCTGAGCATGCATCAGTATGGACTTTTGTTTGAGCTTTAGGGTTGTACAAAGCTAAAATTAGTTGATTCGTCAGTTCATTTTTCAGCACTGTAAAAGAATTTTGCTGACTTTCTTCCCATCTGAATGTTTGATTTTTCTTAGTTAGTTGAGTCAATGGTCCAGCTTTAATGACATAATTTGGAATACACCTTCTAAAAAAACTTGTTAAACCAAGAAATCGTCAAATTTCATGAAAGTTTTTAGGTTCTGGGAATTTTGATATTACTTCAACTTTTCTTGATCCCGGCTTTATTCCGTTTTTATTGATGATAAAGCCTAAGTATTCTATTTCTTGTTTGGCAAATTCACATTTCGGTAACTTCAGGGTTAGCTTAGCTGCAAGTAGTGCTTCGAATACTTTAATTAATTTCTGAATCATTTCTTCCCAGTCCTTGCTGGAACAAGTATATCGTCAGGTAGCACAACACTTCTTTATTACTAATGAGGATAATGCATGATACATCAATCGTTGAAATTCCGCACGAGCGTTAGTCAAGCCAAAATCATTCTTTCAAATGTCCACTTTCATCCGGTGTTACGAAAGCCTTTTTTCAATTTTGCACTTCAGTTAAGGAATCTGTAAATATCCGTGTGCTAAATCTAGCGTTGTAAACAGACACTCATGCAATTGTTCTAATAAATCATCTATTTTAGGCAAGGGAAATTTATCCTTATAGTTTGACTATTGAGACGTCCTGTAATCAACAACTAATCTGTATTCACCGGTCTTTTTCTTTACCAGGATGACAGG